CAGAGAGTAAGAAGGAAACTTTTCCACATCTGGTGGGGCTGATGTTCCCTGAGGAAGTGATAGCTGACCTGACATATGAAAGTGAAAAGGAAAGGAAGGAAGGCTATCAGAATGGGAACAAACATGTGCAAAACCCCTGTGGCAAGGCAGAGTGGGAGGCATCAGAGAAAGTGAAAGAAACCCGTGTGGAAAGAAAGCCAAGGAGCCACTGCCTGTATATGAAACCATCACTGTTAGCCCTCTAGAAGCCTTCTGTCTGCTCTTCCAGTCACAGCCCCCTTTCTTCCACTAAAGGAATAGTTACTATACTGTTCAAATATTTATGGCAATAATTCCTTATTATATTTAGTTACCACTCTTAAGAATTTCCTTTTAAGCGTATATAAATGGAACCATAAAGCATATAGTCTTTGTGTATGATTTTACCTACAGTACATTTTCTTTTTCAAATTTGTTTATGTTCTTAAGTCACATATTTCATTCATTTTGTATGTTCGATAGGATTCTTTGTATGAATATACAATAATTCATGAACTTAATGCTTTGATGAACATTTTTTATGTTTCTGTGTTTTTACTGATCACAAATCATATATGATTAAACATCCAGGCACACATATGCATGTCATTTCTCTAGCATAAACAGCAAGAAATATATATATATATGAATATGAACATATGCAAACACCAGTTCATGCATAATATAAAATTATGGACTATTCTATCTCCTTTCACATATTTTCTGTTTTTGTCTCTCTTTTCATCATTATTGATAATTTCTTCTTCCATCTCTTCCATTTAATGATCTCTCTGCATCTTATCCATTGAATTCTTAATTTAGGCTATTTCACATATTACATTGCTTTAGTTTTAGAATTTCTATTACTTTCTTTTCTGAAAAATCTGCCTGACAGACCTCTCAGTCTATATAAACACAATCTAACACAATTTTCTATTATGACAGAAATATTCTATAAATCAGTACTGCACAATGTAGTTATTCAGCTCTTGAAACATGGCTAATTAAAGAATTGAATTTTTATTTTTATGTATTTATTTATAATTATATTTATTTATTTATTTATTTATTTATTTATTTATTTATTTATTTTTGACGGAGTCTTGCTCTGTCGCCCAGGCCGGAGTTCAGTGGCACGATCTCGGCTCACTGCAAGCTCCGCCTGCCGGGTTTACGCCATTCTCCTGCCTCAGCTCCCCAAGTAGCTGGGACTACAGGCACCCGCCACCTCACCCGGCTAGTTTTTTGTATTTTTTAGTAGAGAAGGGGTTTCACCGTGTTAGCCAGGATGGTCTCGATCTCCTGACCTCGTGATCCGCCCGCCTTAGCCTCCCAAAGGGCTGGGATTACAGGCTTGAGCTACCGCACCCGGCCTCAATGTATTTTTAAGAGTGTAAAGGAGTCTTGATTCCAAAACTTTGAGAACTGCTGCCTTCTTCTCCACTTTCTCCTTCTCTAGAATTTCTTCATTGAAAGAAACATCCCTTTGCCATTCCATATTAACTTACAGAGTTCCATTGAGGCCAGTTTTGCTACCTCCCTCCCATCTTTCCGCCTCCCTCTCTTGACACAAAACCTGACTACAGGACTCGATCAGCCCACCCATTTCCAGTGATTAGCTGTCAGGTGGGCTAAGCCAAGAAAATGTGGGTTTTCCCTGAGACTAGACCTCTCCTTCTGGGAGATCTGGAATCACAGGGACAAGGTTGGCCACCTTGGGGTAGTCAGAATTTATCTCGCCTAAACGAGGAGAGGTTAGGCAAGTTTCTACAAAGCCAAACTGCTTTCTAGATAATTATACTTTGTGCCATGACTGTGAGAATGCCCATTTTATTGCACACTTTCTAACATTTTCACCAAACTGATAAATACAAGCTGGTACCTAGAAGAAAAAAAGGCCGGGCATGGTGGCTCATACCTGCAATCCCAGCACTTTGAGAGGCCGAGGCAGGTGGATCATCTGCGGTCAGGAGTTCGAGACCAGCCTGGCCAACATGGTGAAACCCCATCTCTACTAAAACTACAAAAATTAGCCGGTGTGGTGGCATGCACCTGTAATCCCAGCTACTTGGGAGGCTGAGGCAGGAGAATCACTTGAACCCAGGTGGCGGAGGTTGCCGTGAGCCAAGATCACGCCATTGCACTCCAGCCTGGGCGACAAGAGCGAGACTTCATCCCAAAAAACAAAAACAAAACAAAACAAAAAAGTTACCATACAAATAATTTGTTCCATCTCTAGAAACCAATTCAGCAATGAGAACTGAAAACCACCACTTGGAAGGTTTCAAACATTTAGCTCTACCTATTGATGTCTAAAGCACTAGTTAAGGTAGAAACACACACACAGACACACACACACACACACACACACACACACACACACACACACACACACCATGCATTCAGTACCAGGAAACTGACTGACTAGATGGTACAGTCATCCAACAGAAAGCGCACAATAACTGAAGCCACTGTAGAGGAGTAAGTTATGACATAGATCTACAATATTGTTGAGTGAAAAAGCAGATTACAAAAACAATCTGATTTTTCAAGGGAGAGGGAACATATACAAGCATAGGAGAAAAGAGATGAGCAGATGACTGGAAACATACAAAATTCTGATAGTGGTACCTTCTGAGTAGTAGAATTATCGGTAATATTTTCTAGTTTTGCCTAAAAATTTTCTATATTTCTTAAAATAAGAAGGTCCTGTTATCCATATTATAAAATATCCACCACCCCAGGAAACTTAACCTTCAGCACAAACTCTACAACATGTTAAAAGTTTGTTCAGTTTTATATTTAAGAGACAATCTATTTTGAAAGACATCTAAAATGATGACCAGTATTTAAACTTATGCATTAATATTTTTCAATCATATGCTTCAAATTTTGTAATTTTGATAAGGTTAAGCTTCATATCAATCTTGAAAAGGTAAGTTTTCTATTTGTCTTTAAAATATGACCTGCAATAGGACAGTGTTTAAACAGTGAATGGTGCTCAAACATCACAATATAAATTCAGGCAGCGTTCCTTACATAGAATGTTTAAGTGCTTCTAACACTGTTCTTTTTCACCGGTTATGAAAACACATTACAATTGTCTAAGCATCTAATTATTCAGGTCCTTTGTTTCTCCTTCATTCTACTATTTTTACAGTAATTTTAAGGCCTGTGAGGATGAAACTGTCTGTGATGGCTACCACAAAGATTACTATAAGTGGACAAATTTCAAACAAGTTTATCACCACTACCATCCCTACCATAAAACTGTCTTGATCAAGGGCAACACATTTCAAGGTTAACCAAGACAACCTCTCTACCTGTCACTGCTTAAGAAAATGATTTTTTGGTCTTATTTAGAAATAACTTTCTGTATCTATCTTTCTCCATAAATTCACTGAGACCAATGTGTGGCTCTATCTCAAGCACCAGCAAGCTAAACTGCTTGCCAGAATGTTCAGTTTTTGTATCTTTCCAAATATAGGACACAGCTCTCTTTTGATATCATAATTTTTTGAAAATTGATGCACAAACTTCTTGAAAGTACAGCCAGGCACGGTGGCTCGCACCTGTAATCCCAGCACTTTAGGAGGCCGAGGCAGGTGGATCATGAGGTCAGGAGTTCAAGACCTGCCTGGCCAAGATGGTGAAATCCATCTCTACTAAAACTACAAAAATGAGCCAGGTGGAGTGGCAGGTGCCTGTAATCCCAGCTACTCAGGAGGCTGAGGCAGGAGAATCACTTGAACCTGGGTGGCAGAGGCTGCAGTGAGCTGAGATCGTGCCACTGCACTCCAGCCTGGGTGACAGAGGGAGAATCTGTCTCAAAAAAAAACCCGAAAAACAAAAAACAAAAAAACAGAAAGTTCAGACATACAGCAGTTGTAATTCTTCTGAAGGCTGGTTGTGGGACACATTACTTTCATACTTGGTTGTTCAATAAATCTGGGGTGAAGAATAAAGTAAACTGACAGAATTACCATATAAACTAAAATTCTAAGTGCTCTGATAACAAAATAAACTTAAAATACACACACATACACACACACACACACACACACACACACACACACACACGGTTTTCCCCGCTAATCATTTTACAACTAAACAACCAAGTAGATAACCCAGAGCCCACAAAAGCTGAGTAAAAATTCTAACACTTGGTTAAATAAAAATGCACATATTCCCCTCTGAGCTAAAAAAAATGCTTAAGTATTCAGAGACAGCAATTACAGCTACTGAGAACATCACTGTAAGCAAACTGAGGCAGAGAAAACAAAGGTGCTGACGAGGAATTGAACCACCTAAGCTGCAGAAACCCACTGGATGGTTTCCTAGGTTCCGAGTTGGCATTATCTTTCAGAATGATTTCTGAAAGAGACACATAATACTGTTACAAAGGATCTGGAGAAAGGGATGCTTGCTTTATCACTCTGGCTCTCCAGTCATGCTTCACATTTTCACTGCTTACATTCTCTTTCATGTGAAGTCAATTTACAGACTTCCATCAAGCCCTTAGAGACCTTTTTGCACTATCCATGACAAGTTCTTGATGTTATCTCTGCACTTTTGACAAATTCTTAGCAGTTAACTTACAAGGCAGTTAAGATTTTTGTTCAAGCACAATATAGCTAGAATAGGGTCATATACTCAATAAAATAAATATTTACCAAGCATTTATTGACTGGAAGATAAAAAGCACAAAGCTTTTTATCTTTGACTGGAAGATAAAAAGCACAAAGCTTACAGAATATAGCATGACATGACCAAAGCAAAAATAGCAAGGACTAAAGGCGGGAGGAAGGGAAAATATCAGCATGAACTGAATATGACCCAGAAGAGCCTTGATGGTCAGACATGTAAAGAAAAATTGGGTAGGGTTAAGGGGTGGAGGTCAGGGACACATTCTACAGGGGAAAAACAGCTGACACAGACGCCTGAAAGGAAAAGTGGGCAGAGCACCTGTACAGGACTCTTACCTGCCGCCTCGAGGGTACAATGGGCCTTTCCAGAACACAGCAGCGCGGCCAGGCCCTGGGGAGAGGGATCGCTCAAACAGCACCAGAGGCTGCATTCCAACTTTTCCTCTGTCAACGACTCCGTTTTCACTGTTAGTTTCTCCTTAAACACCAACTTAAAAACAACTGGCTGAACAGGCGGGAACAAGGAAAACCTGACTGAAGAATGAGGCCTTAAAACTTAAGGGCCTTGGGTCCTGGCGCGGTGGCTCATGCCTGGAATCCCAGCGCTTTGGGAGGCAGAGGTGGGTCATTTGAGGTCAGGAGTAAGAGACCAGACTGGCCAACACGGTGAAACCCCATCTCTACTAAAAAAAAAACACACACAAAAGTTAGCCAGCCTTGGTGGCGGGCGCCTGTAATCCCAGCTACTCGGGAGGCTGAAGCAGGAGAATCTCTTTAACCCGAGGACTGTCAAGAGACATATCCTGCAGTGAGCCGAGATCCCGCCACTGCACTCCAGCCTGGGCGACAGAGTGGGACTGTCTCAAAAAAAAAAAAAAAAAAAAAAAAAAAAAAAAAAAAAAAAAAAAAAGAAAAAGAAAAGAAAAAAGAAAGAAAAGAAAAGGAAAAGAAAACTTTTTTTGAGAGAGAGAGAAGTATCCGTCTTGTCCCCCAGGTTTGAGGGCAATGGCTTGATCTCGGCTCACTGCAACCTCCACCTCCCAGTTTCAAAAGATTCACCTGCCTCTGCCTCCCAAGTAGCTGGGATTAAGGCGCCTGCCACCACGCCCAGCTAATTTCTGTATTTTTTAGTAGAAACGGGTTTTCACCATGTTGGCCAGGCTGGTATCGAACTCCTTACCTCGGGTGATCCGCCCGCCTCGGCCTCCCAAAGTGCTGGGGTTGCAGGCGTGAGCCACCGCGCGCAGGCAAAAAAAAAAAACCCACGAAAATCTTAAACGCCTTTTCCCTTCCGCGCCTGGGCTCAAACAACGCTGGAGGGCCCTGCCCCGCCCTGTCGCGGTCCCGGGAGCGGGCCGGCTGACTGATGGCGACCTTGGGTCCCGAGAGGGCTCCTGCTGCGCGGGCTCCCACCTCGGGGAGCGGCGACCCGGGCCAACACGGGCCAGCAGCCCCCAAGCCAGGCCCGCGCGAGGAGCCGGAGAGACGGACCCTCCGCCTCCTCCCAGCCAAGCCTCGCGCAGTCCCAGGGCCGGGGCCGGGCTAGTCGCAGGAGAAAGTAGGCGAGGAACTGGGGCCTCTCCGGGGCAGGCTCCCCTTTGTCCTGGGACTCCGGGCGCCCCCTCTCCGCCCTCGCCCTGCCCAGCGAAGCCGCCGCCGGGCGCCTCACGGTTATGTTGCAGTGGAGCCTGGGCGGCGGCTCCAGGCTCCTCGTTCTTGTGGAAGATAGAACAGCCAGCAACTTAAGCTTGGCCTTGAACCCTGACACGGACATCTTCCCCTCATCTCCGGCCGGAGGGGCGCGGAAGGGGAGGCGGTCCTGAGCCGTTGTCATTGCCGCGATGACCTGGTGGGACAGCCCTGCGGAGCTCTCGCGGCTCCGCCTCTCCCCGCCGCCTCAACCTTCGTGGGAGTGCCTATGGAAAATGGTAAGGGGCACGGAGGCCTTGGAGGGGAGCTGTGTGGCGGCCCGGGGGGCTGCTCCCTTTGTAACCGACTCCACCGACAGAAGGCACGCCTCCTGTCAAGCGGCAGCTTAAAAGGGCAGCAGCACCACCGCCCCCGCTACAGCCTGGGAAAGGGCAGCCCCCACCCTGCCACCGTCCCCGTCACCTCTCACCGCTCAACCCTCACCCCTCAAACCGGGGGATACACTAGTCCAGAGCGTGTGCGGGCTCCCAGCTGCCCCCTCCTCCTCTTGACCCAGCACCTTTCTGCCCAACCCGTCTGGTCCCTCCATTCCTCACACTCCCCTACTGGAGGCTCAGGGTGGCACAACCACCAACTGTAGTGTGTGTGTTTCTCTTGAGTGTGTGTGTGTGTGTGTGTGTGTGTGTGTGTGTGTGTGTGTGTGTGTGTGTGTGTGTGTGTGTCTCCCAAGGGAACAGAGCACTGCTGAGTTCAGGCTGATTATTAGCTCCTGGACTGTTAGCAAAATACAGTCACAAGAAGGCTCTGTGCTGTTTTGTCTTTTGTGGTGACATCATGTTGCTCGTGTTTTGTTTTTCAGAGTTCATTAGTTTCTATTTGTTCTCAGTTAATATCCAGCTCAATAGATTGTGTAAATAGAATACCCCCAAACTGAAAGTCACCTACATAAAATATAGTGAAAAATATGTCACCCAGTTAGAGTTGAAAATGTGCACAGGTTAGTTTGGTGTAGCTAACACTGGATACTGGGTAAGGGCACAGGATCCCGAGACTAGACTGCCTGGGTTCAGGTTCCAACTTAGCCACTTGCTGGCTGTGAAATACTTGACAGCTTTAAGCCTCAGTTTCTTTTTTTCAGTTTCTTTTTTTTTTTTTTTTAAACTTAATCCCAAATGTGATAGTAAGTCTCAGTTTCTTGATCTGAAAAACAGAAATTATTCAATGAGAGTCTATGTGAAAACTTCAAAGCTTTTGAAGCCACTGCCTGGCTCAGGAAAGTCCTCAGCTTTAGCCGTTATTAGCTATGATTATTGTTGTTTTGGCAACACGTGAATTAATGAGGTAGGAAAATGCTCAAGGATGACAACCAAGTATATAAATTATCTCATCAGACCCAGAGAGATGCATATGTGTGCATGCTCATGTTTCAGCTCAGAGCTCTTTGTCTAGAAGGCTCTTGAACTCAGAGGCCCAGGCACTATCAACTTGACTTGGCAGTGGAGTCATCACTTTTGTTGATCAATGAAATTGACATAATGCTCTTTTTGTTGTTGATGTTGCACCAACCATGTGCCTAGAGCTAGCTGTGTCAAGAAGAGCATGCTTCAGTTGGCTGGAGTGAGCAATTCAACTTGTGGAGGAATGAGAAATGTTACTGTTGAGACAAGAAACAAAACCCCAGGGTAAGGTAGGAATCACTGAAAGTCAGGCAGAGGAACTGGCATCCAGTAATGAGTTAGGCTTTGCTGGTGTCTGGCCCTACAGATGGCTCTTTGGAGAGGAAAAAATTAAGCCAGGCCAGAGAGCACAGATCCTAAGGGAATGCTGGCAGCTCTAGGCTGTCTATGGAAGAGAAGCAGAGGGTGGCACCTGGTTGAGAGAGGGGGCTGGGTGTCATAGCTTGAGCCTGTGTTTACAGATGGAGTACCCTGATTCCTGCGAGTAGGGAAGGAGATCATGCCCGGATCAGGGGACCTCAAATCAGAACCCTTCCCACCCACACACCTTCTTTTCAGGGCATCTTTCATTGCAAACAACAAACAAACTAGTCGGAAAGCTCAGCAGATTCTCACGGTGGTGCCTAGCAGACCAGGCCTAGCTGCCCTTTACCCTGTGACTGAGGGTGATGCCACTGGCCTGTAAGCACCCATTGGAAAATCTTTACATCCATGGACATGCCATGCCCACAGAGACAGCTGTGCATGGTTCTTTAGGTTTGGGGTGCTGTCCTGGCAGTTGCCTTACAAATATGTAGGATTAAAATGGGATGCCCTAGAGCTTATCTAACCTTTATCCTCCTGCCCCCCAAAATGAAGGGGAACTAGTTTTGTTTGCTTTATGGAAGATGGATCTGTCATTGTTTTTAGAACCTTCGGAGAAAGATTTCTTGGGAGGAAGCTATCTTGAACCCGCAGAGATTTTTCTCATTTTTCGTTGCAAACAACATATAAACTAGTCGGAAAGCTCAGCAGATTCTCACGGTGGTGCCTAGCAGACCAGGCCTAGCTGCCCTTTACCCTGTGACTGAGGGTGATGCCACTGGCCTGTAAGCACACACTGGAAAATCTTTACATCCATGGACACACCATGCCCACAGAGACAGCTGTGTGTGGTTCTTTAGGTTGGGGGTGCTGTGCTGGCAGTGCCTGATAAATATTTAGGATTAAAATGGGATGCCCTGGAGCTTAGCTAATCTTTATCGCCCCTCCCACCCCTCTAAAATGAAGGGGCTGTTAGTTTTGTTTGCTTTGTGAAAGATGGATCTGTCATTGTTTTTAGAACTTTGGAGAAAGATTTCTTGGGAGGAAGCTATCCTGAACCCCCAGAGATTTTCTTATTTACAGGTGCACCAGCTTTAGAGTCCTAGATCTTCATCCTGGCTCAGCTACCCTCCAGCTGTGTGACCTTTGAGAAGTTGCTTGACTACACTGAGTCTTGTCATCTATGAGTGAAGGTTGCTACATTGCTACTGTGTGGAGCACCTACCCCCAGGCAGTCTTATAGGGTGATGGTGAAGATTAAATGCAATAGTAAGGCTGAAGGAGGAGGATCGCTTGAAGCCAGGAGTTCAAGACTAGCCTGGGCAACAAAGCCAGACCTCATTTCTATGAAAATGTTTTTTAAAAAATGAGCTGGACTTGGTGGCTTATGCCTGTAGTCCAGCTACTCGGGAGGCTGAGGTGAGACCACCTGAGCCCAGGAGTTTGAGGCTGCAGTGAGCTGTGATTGCACCACTGCACTCCAGCCCAGGCAACAGAAAGAGACCCTATCTCAAATAAATGAGTAAGTAAATAAGTAAAATAATAAAATAATGCATGCAATTAGTACACTAGTACATGATCAGGCACATGATAAATGCTCGATAAATGGTAGCCCTAATAAACTTTGTAATGTTGTAAAGGAGGATGTCCTTTGGACTCAGCCCAGTGACAGAAGCATTTAAAGAGACTGATTTGTATGGTGGCTATTTCCTACAGGTACAAGCCTGTACCTCCAGGGACCCAAGGAATTGGCTCAATGGGGCACCTTGTTCTATTTACTCTTGTTTTGGGCAGCACCGATTGCCCTAGGGCTAAGCAGGACTGCCACCACAGATTGCCAAGAGTATCCCCCTCCCCAAGCTAGCCATGGGAAAGCCACTTGCATCATAAGACTACAGGAAATCAAAGGGCATAAAAAGCACGATTTAGTCACCTACTCTCCAGTTGATGGGCAATAGGTTTTTGTTATTTTGAACAGAGCTGTTAGGAACATCCCTTGTCCACATACCCTGTTTTATATAGGCAAGAATTTCTCTTGCATGTAGAGTAGAATTGCTAGGCTGGGAAAAGTGTGAATATTCAACCTTATGAGAGGGAGCCAAACTGTTTTCCAAAGTGGTCATACCAGTGTATACTCCCAGCAGCAGTTCTTAAGAGATCTCAGGATCTCTATCTTCTGGTGAGGTCACAAGCAGTCAAAAAGAATGAACTCCAGCTATAAACAACAATAAG